TGGAACCTTGTTTGAGTTAATGTCCTACAAACCCAAAATGGGACATAGGATCGCGAGTTTCTCTCGATAATATTGTATTCATTCTCGAGATAAAAAATAGAAATCATAACATTTATATCATGTCGTTTTATATTCTGTTTAGAATGATTCATTGTTCTATGATATTTCATGATTGTTCAACAAATATCATAATGATAAAATTTTGTTTGTTCTGATATACGACGATAATAACAATACTTATTTCAAAGAAAAGAGGGTGAATATTTTTAGACTAACTCTTGCTAGAAACAAGATAGACAACTGCGATTTTCACCGCTGGAAAGACATTTAGATTGCTAGTCGAAGATCTACAAACTGTCAAAGGTTCATATATTTAAATTTATTCATTCAAAAATTGTAGGTATTCTAGTCGAACTCATTTTTTGCTTTTTTTTCCTGTTGAATAAAAAAACCTTTTCTCCAACACTTAGAAAACTGATTAAGAAAAACGTCAAAAACATATTAGAAAAAGCTACAATATATAATTCGATGAGTCGTCATCTCTTCTTTTCAACGGTGAAAATTGCACTTCTCTACTTTGTTTCTATCAAGAGTTATTCTAAAATACTCACCAGTTTTCTTTGAAATGAGTATTGTTGTTATCATCGTATATTAGAACAAACAAAATTTTATCATTATGATATTAGTTGAATAATGATGAAATATCATAGACAAATAGTTCATTCTTTTTACTATGTATTTAAATACAGAGAAAGTTTCTTCAAGCTTTTTATAGAGAACTAAAGTATTGATGCCTGTTTGTTTGGTGTACATTCGAGAGAGAACAAGAAGCGGCTCCTCTCATATTCGATTATATGGCAACCGTCATGCAATTGGCTTATTTTTTGCACCATTTGCCATTTTATTTTTCTAACGTATTTATAAATATATTAAGTAATGAAGAACGCAACAGTGTGACGCACAAACGACAGAACGATTGTGCAGTTTCTTTTTTTCGTATTAAGTATTTCTTTGTTTATTCACATTCCTGATTGAAATTGCTCATATGGATAAGATACACAGCTATTTATGTACTATTTATAATTTACCTTGTAAAACACATGAAACAAAATACAGTCATCGCCTAAAAGAGGAATCGTATTTCATGCAAGATAACTATGTGAATCATCAGACAAAAATGACGGTAAGTATGCATAATTATCAATATTTTAACTCGGAAACTAATATCGATCGATTAGATTCTAAATCACGGATTTTTGAAATGGTCTACCGGCACATACATTTTAAAGAATTCTTCATATCTTGTCTCTCAAGGAACTGCATTTTTTAAATTTCATTTATTATCATTCTAATTATTAATACTATAGAAAACAATTATTTAACGAGAAATCTTATTTTGAAAGACGAGGTAAATTTCATATAATTGCAGCAAATGAAGATCATGATGAGTAATTGTCGTAAACAAAATTTTCATCACCATAGATATTGTAGAGATTAGACATTTACAGTGACAGTACGTCTCATATTATCGACGTACATCCTACCATGAGTTAGATTATCATGTATGTTGTACATTAGACAGGAGGTCGTTTATTATGAAAGAAAAAAATATATATATATATTCTCCTTCGTTTGCTATAGGTCACTAGCACCAATAAAACCAAGATATATTCCTCTTTCATATTATTCGCATTGGTAGTTTTGGTGTACGTCTCACACAGTGCAATTACTTGGTCGAATAGTGATTGTACATCAGACAGTTTAACTGAAATTGATCCTCGCTATGGTAGAGTTGGTAATCCAAATGTCGTTCCTCAGGATGATTGTGCGCTTCGGGCCTTTACAATCGAGATGGCTACCTATATTGCACCTTCATTCTGGAAAAGTAATTGGACAGCACTTAGTGAAAGTGCCTTTCAAATGAATGAATGCAATAAAATGACACATCGTGCTTATCAATCGTCCAGCACCAGTAAACCCTTCAAGACAACGCCGAAAATGACAAAAGATATTTGTTATCGTACAGTGTTTGTACATAGTGTAACTGGTCATGACTTGTTCGATGGAACGTTCGAAAGACCTATGAAAACCATTCAAGCTGCCTTAACTCTCACACGCACTCTACGTACCATGCACAATAGTGATCATACATTGTGTATTAGCATACGTGGAGGAACTTACTATCTTGGTAAGAATGTTACTACGACAAGTAGTCAAATTGGTGCGATCGCATTGACAAGTAATGATAGTAATCTTGTAATCGAAAACTATCAGGATGAGCGTGTCGTCTTGAGTGGTGGCACATTATTACAACTGCAATGGTCCGTTCATGCAAAAACAGCAGCTGTTGGTACAATCATGAAAGCTCAAGTACCATCTTACGTTAAACTCAATGATTTTAACGAGTTATATATCGATGGCAAAAGAGCTATTGTCGCTAAATATCCTAATGGTGATCCTTCTATTCAAGGCTTATATGCCAAAGATCCTGGATTCTCCTTTGATGCACACAGATGGTGGCCGCCGAGTTTTAATCGAAGTGTGGAAATTCGTGTACAAGAACCTTACGTAACGGTGAGTCTATGGGCTTTTTTATTTCAAACTGAATTCCAAAATCAAAAAAACCACACCAATTTCTTCCGAATCAAACTTTTCTCGCTTGATACTACGTAGTCTCACTAAAAACCCTTAGTCCCCCATAGTCCTGCAAAGTCCCCCTTAGTCCCCCCCCACAAAAAGCTTAGTCCCCGCTTAGTCCCCTGTGCAGGGGACTAAAGCCTATAGTACACAAAACCACAAGCACACCCTCACCCTCACTCGCGCGCCCACACCCGCACCATGGGTGTGGGTGTGTGTGTGGGTCCCATACCAACACCCACATCCTCAGTCACCCCCCTCCCTCACTCCTAGACTCACGTTTCAGTTTGAAATCAAGTATTATTTTTATTTGATAAATTCAGACTGAAATTAAATAGCCCATAGTATGGTAACGGTACAGTATTTACAAATTATCAACTTGGTGTAGGTGGTGGTGCTGCTGTTTTCAATCCACCTACCAATTTTTGGAGTACAGCTTCACCACCTGCAGGTGATAATTATGTTGTTCCTCGTGGTCTTACCGTGAAAAATGGTGCCATGCCTCACATTGGTAACTGGAGTAAGCCTACGACTGGTTTCGTACATGTTTTTCACGCTGGTTATTGGGGTAGTTGGGTATTTGAAATAGCATCGATCAATAGTACCGAAAATACCATTATGTTTGCCCGAGGAGGATTTCAAGAAGCACGAGGTTCAGATGCTGGTGGTGCGTTTTATGTTGCAAACATTTTCGAAGAGCTTGATTCACCAAATGAATGGTTCTTGGACAAAGATACTCGTACTCTCTATTTTATGCCGAACGAAACTATGCCTGAAGTTTTTGTGGCTAGTCAAATTCCTTGTCTCATTTCCATCACTGGTAGTAGTATCGAAGATTCTGTCAAAAATGTACTGATACCAGGTTTGATATTAACAGAGACAAGTAGTACCTATATGAAAGATTACATGGTGCCAGGTGGTGGTGATTGGACCGTTCACCGAGGTGGCACTATGTATTTGAGAAACACACAATATGTCACTATTGCACACAATTTATTCACACAATTGGGCAGCAATGGTATGGCTTTAATTGATTATAACTTTGCTACCTCTATTACTTTGAATGAATTTGTATGGTTGGGTGATTCGGCTATCATAATTGTTGGCAGCACGTATGGAATTGATGGTTTTAGTGTCGCTAGTCAACCTGACAA